AAAGAGTCAGCTAGTCCAGATAGCTATAGGCCCATCTCATTGCTCTGCCATACATACAAGCTCTTCAAAAGACTCATTCTCAACCGTTTGACCCCTTACATGGATAAACTCATCATTCCAGAGCAGGCAGGTTTCAGACCAGGAAAATCCTGTACAAGCCAACTCCTTAACCTTACCCAGTTTATCGAAGACGGGAATGAGAAAGAGTTAATTACTGGAGCCGCTTTTGTTGACCTCTCCGCAGCCTACGACACAGTCAACCATCGAATTCTAACCAAAAACTATACCAGCTAGTAAAGGATGTGAGACTAGCAGAACTAATCATGAACATGTTGGCAAACAGGAGGTTTTTCGTGGATCTCAATGGTAGCCGCAGCAGATTGCATGGACAGAAAAATGGCCTTCCACAAGGAAGCGTCCTGGCCCCTCTGCTCTTTAATCTATACACAAATGACTAGCCAGTACACACAAACACCAGGAGTTTCCTTTATGCAGATGACCTCTGCATTGCTTCACAAAAACAGTCCTTTGACGAAGCCGAACGGTCCATCACCGATGCTTACGCAGGCCTAACAACCTACTATACAGCAAACCATCTACGAGCCAATCCCGGAAAAATTCAAATAAGTGCCTTCCATCTAAAGAACAAGGAGGCAAACCGCCAAATGAAAGTCAAATGGTATGAGAAATGGCTGAAACATATACCTATAGCCCAGTCTACCTAGGTGTTACTTTAGACCGCTCTCTAACTTACAAGAATCACATCATCAAGACAAAGGCCAAAGTGAGTGCCAGAAACAGTATTCTAAAGAAGTTGGCCACTACTAAATGGGGAACAGATGCCGAGACAATCAGAACCACTGCTATCGCCCTGTGCTACTCTGCGGCTGAGTATGCGTGCCCTGTCTGGAGTAGGTCGCCCCATGCTGCAAAAATTGACCCAGTTCTGATCATTGCCTGCAGAGCCATTTCTGGATGCTTGAGACCAACCAACGTAGATGACCTCTACCTCTGACCTCTGTGACATTGCTCCTCCACACGTTAGACGAATGGCTTCATCCCAAGTAGAGAAACTTAACCAAGAAAATGACCCTCGCCACCTCCTCTACCATCATGAAACAGTACAGAAGAGACTAAAGTCCAGGCACAGTTTCATCCACGCGGTTCAACCCCTGGATGGCAACCTCCAAAACTACAGGATCGCCCAATGGTCAAAGCATCTTTAGGCAAGCCAACATAAGCTTTCACTCAGACCCCAGGAATCCCTCCCACCCGGAGCCAACGAAGTATGGCCGACGTGCTTATGCCTAAATCGCCTCAGGACAGGGTTTGGTCAATGCAGGGCACTCATGCAGAAATGGGGATACACTGAAGATGGCCCAACCGAATGCGACTGAGGGGAGGACCAGACTATGGGACATCTCCTAAAATGCCCCCTATTACCAGAGCCGTAGTGTAGTGTAGTGACCCGAGAAGAAGAAGAAGAATAGTTAGCTATCCATGATATATTATACGATATTACAGACAAGCACATGGACGCCACACCAATGGAGAAGATAACATTAACATCAGTTTTTATTTTTTTATCTAACTCCAGAGTGCGTGTACCCCGGCAAACCGACNTGCTCCAAAG